CAGCATGCTGCAGTTCCCTACTTTCTGCATTTTGACGTTCCCGTTGTGTTTGACGTGGTCGATCACTCTGTTATGTGACATCCTTTGACAACTGTCTGCCTGTTTGGCAATCGAATCCTCACCAGGATCCAGCTTGTCTGACTTCACACCGAACACACTGAAGCCTTGCGTTTTGATTCTTGCTCTGCATCTGCTCCTTGGGTTTGTGTTTGATCTCACTCCTTCACCCCTCGATCAGACTGCACACGAAAGCAGTGCATACTCAGTCCAAATAAATGAGGACAAAGGAATTTACAAACAGATTGCTTTGAACAAAGTGAATGAGGAATAAAACCTAGAAAATTTAGAGACAAAAAGGAAATCTGCAAAATATAAGTAAAATATTAATCAAAGAGCTTCCTGTTGCAGGAGTATTCCCAGGGTGCTGTTGTCTCAATGTTATAATTTTAAGTGATGTTTCTCTTTCCTAACACCCAAATTCTCAGTATTAGGAAGGTGCAGTTTCTAATCTCGCCAAACTGTCCAGTGCTTTTGTTGCATTTCAGACTCACTTGAATCTTGTGATGGTTTGTTTGGCTTGTGCAATGTTTTACAGTTATATTGTTGCTGTCACCTTTAGTTAGTTAACTAGTTGCTGTCATTTTTGGTTGGCTTGTGTTCTGTTCTGACAAAAGCATTCAAGGAGAAATAAAAATCTTTCGATATCGTCCCTTTGTTTACATTTTTTTCATATAATCCATTATTGTAAAGAAAGGGAATTGCCAAACCAAACTTCTTCCTAGCTTTACTGAATTTGAGAATAATCTTCTGATATTCTGTCCATGTTTGAATTAAGGCCAGCGGTTTATTGTGACTGAATTCTTATTCCATTTTAATTGAATCTCCAGAGTTTTCTCAATTGTTTCAGGATCAGATTTCATGTTTTTGTTTGTTTGAAAAGTTAGAAAGCTGCTGGAGGCCACTCACTTTTCTTGAAACCGGACAATATTCCACCTGGATTTCCACATGGTTAGGAAGAGTAGCCAAACATGGGTGGAAATCACACATTTTACACAGTAGCTGATGCGTTGTGTTTTGCACTTTGTTCCTTAATGTGTTGTTACTGTTACGCCATCGATGCCAATCCTCTGCTTACTCCGCACCCCCATCCCCCCTGTGTTCTACAAATGCTGTCTCCACGTCCAGCTTCCTGAGTTTAGGAAGTAATGGATGGTCTTGGTATGGACACTACAAGTACCCAGAAATTGTTTACATTTTTCTTCGAGCTCAATTGCAGCTCCTCTGACACTGCTACACCAGAGAGGGCCTCGGTTAGTTCAGTTGGCTGGATGGCTGGTTCGTGATGCCAACAGGGTGGGTTCAGTTCCTGCACCGGCTGAGGTTATCACAGGGGACTCTTCTTCCCAGTGTCTTGCCTCAAGGTGTGGTGACCCTCGGGTAAAATTGGGTCTCTCTCTCTCTGTAATGAAAGAACAGCCCTATGCTCTGGTCAGACTCGTATCATTACAGCAGAGAGTGTCAATCTGGATAATGTGGTAGGGTGTTGGATTGGGGAGTGAATGCTACTGGTTGGGAAGTGAGAGCGTTACTGACTGACACACAGCTGACCAGGTTTGGTGTTAAACCACCTGCTGATGAAATTTCCTACACAAATAAACTGCCATTCAAAAGCAAACATTCTGGTGGTTTCAGTCTGAGCATTTGCTGCAAGGCCAGTTACCCAGAACCGCAGCTGTACTTGTGGTAATTTCTGCTTGAGGCTTGCTTTCCTGATCGCTCCGTTCGACTGCTACATGTGCCCAACATTTCTCACATTTTTCTTTGAAAAGCAGCCTGTAGGAGCACAGTGCTTTGAGACCTGGGCTGCTTCCCCAATCAGTAATCTGCTGAAATCTGCAGAATTAAGGGCTCTCGTTTGCTAAGAGATTGCATGTATGTTTTTGCCTCAATCAACCTGAAGTTCCCTTTCTGAGTGACAGCCTCGTGGGTTCGAGACCCAGTCTAGTGATTTGGACACACAATCCAGGCTGATTCTGTCAGTCCAGTACTAAGTGCGAGAGCTAAGAATGCTGCTTCCTCTGATGGTGACATTCCTTTCAGCTCTGTACTTTTCCTGAGAAATACAGAAGAACCTAGAAACATTTTGTGACATTAGACACACTATTGAAAGCAATATTGTTGTGTTGGAAAGGACCTGATGTCAATGAAACTGGGTGAGTGGAGGGGAAGGCTAAGCGATGCTACATTAACTCACTGCTGAAAACTACTCAGTAGCAAAAGGATTTTAACTTGTGAATTCAGACTTGGTCTATTCTTGGCACTTCATCCGAGGCCTATGGGATTACAATTAAATTACACGCTTGACAATACCCATCGTAATATATCGCTGTAGGAAAATGTCCCACTGCTCTTTCATGGTTTTAATCAATTTAACAGGCCAGACATTTATTTGGGTTTGTGTGTTGAGTTTAACTTTTACCACCCTTTGAAGCTGAGTTTGTTTGTGTTTTGCACTGCAAACACTGACAATAAGTCTGACTAGGGAAGGGGCCATACCAGACCTTGTATTAGGGATGAGCCAGGCCCACTGGGGTCATTTTGGGAAACAATTTTTAGGATAGTTAGGGTTAGGATTAGTTATGGGTTTCCATAAGGAAAAGACTGGTCCTTGGGGGACAGTGCTAAATTTTAGGATGGCTAATTACAACAGGATTAGGCAGATACTTGAGAAATTAGATCGAGGACGACAGTTTGAGGGTAAATCCATATCTGACAAGTGGGAGGCTTTTAAAGACCACTTGATCAGAGTTCAGGAGAAGTTCCTGTGAAGGTGAAAGATAAAAATGGCAAGATTCAGAAACCCGGAATGACAAGCGATATTGAAAGTTTGTCAAAAAGCGAAAAGAGATTTCTGTTAGAATTAGCAAACTGAAATCAGACAAAGCCCTTGAGGAATATAAAGGAAGCAGAAAAGAACTTAAACAAGAAATTAGGAAGATTAAAAGGGCCAATGAAATGTCCTTGGCAAGTAGGCTTAAGGAGAATCCCAAGGCATTTTGCTCATATAATAGGAGCAAGAGGGTAGCTAGGGAAAGGGCAGGTCCACTCAAGGACAAAGGAAGGAATTAATGCGTAGAATGAGAGGAAGTGAATGAGGTCCTGAATGAGCACTTCACGTCAGTATTCACCAAGGAGAAGGACATGGATGATGGTAAGATTTGGGAAGGACAAGTCGATATTTGAGGCCATGTCAATATTAAAAAGGAGGTATTGAGTGTCTTGAAAAATAGGTGGATAAGACCCAAGACCCCTTGGGATCTATCCCAGGATACTGAGGGAGGCAAGGGAAGACATTGCTGGGGCCATGAGAAAGATCTTTACATCGTCTTTCACCACAGGTGAGGCTCCAGAAGACTGGAGAAAAGCTAACGTTGTTCCTTTAAGAAGGACAACAGGGATAATCCAGGAAATTATAGGCTGGTGAGTCTTACATCAGTGGTAGGGAAATTACTGGAGAAGATTCTTAGGGAACAGGATTTACTCGCATTTGGAAAAGAATGGACTTATTTGGGGTAGTTAGCATGGCTTTGTAGTCTTATCTCACAAACTTGATTGTTTTGAAGAAGTGACAAAGATGATCGATGAGGGTAGGGGAGTGGATGTTGTCTACATGGACTTTACTAAAGCATTTGACAATGTCCCTCACGGTAGGCTAGTCCAGAAGGTTACATTGCACTGTGAGTTGGTAAATAGGATACAAAATTGACTTAGTTATAGAAGACAGAGGGTAATTGTGGAGGAGTGTTTATCTGACAGGAGGTCTGTGACAGTGGTTCTGCAAGGATCAGTGCTTGGACCTCTGTTGTTTATAATGTATATATTATTGATCTGGATGAAAATATAGATGACCTGATTCGTAAGTTTGCAAACGACATAAAAATTGGTGGAGTTATGGACAGTGAGAAAGGTCATCAAAGGATACAGGAGGATATAGATTAGTTGGAAAGTTTGGCAGAGAAATGACAGATGGAGTTTAATCCGGACACATTTGAGGTGATGTGTTTTGGGAGTTTAAATGCAAGAGGGAAGTATATGGTAAATGGTGGGACACCTACGAGCATTGATACACAGAGGGACCTTGGGGTGCAAGTCCATAGCTTCCTTAAAGTGGCAGATAGGTGCCTACCACACAGACAGTCGCCTGAGGGTGGGATCGGACCCGGGTCCCTGGCGCAGTGAGGCTGCTAACCACTGAGCCACTGTGCCACCCCAAACATTGGAGGTCATAAGATCCATGACCAGGTGGATGTGGAAAGGATATTTCCCCTCGTGGGTCAGTCCAGCACTGGAAGGCAATTGCCTTTTTAGAATCGAGATGAAGAAATGCTTCTTTCTCTATAAGGGTTGTGCAACTTTGGAAATCTTTTCCCCAGAAGGAAGGAAGAGGAGTCTGAATATTTTTAAGACAGAGATAGATTATCCTTAGACGACTCCTAGTTTCTACGTTTTGTAGAAAGAGAAGTAGAAATAAAGCGATTTTACAGCATTATTTACATTCCTGAAACAACTGTCATATAGGGTGGATGTAGACGATTTTACCTGCAATATTCAATTAAGATCGTCAAGGAAAAAAATGGCAGGGATGAAATAAAAAGGGAAGTGGAACTGCTTTAATTGCTCTTCCAGAGAGCTGGAATAAACATGATGGGCCGAACAGTTTTCCGCTACAATCCCTTCAGTTTGCGGCGAGAGGGGGTACTCATCGTCAAGCTCCTCCCGGGCTGCAGGTGGCGCTAAGCCTCCAGCTCCTCCCGGGCTGCAGGCGGCGCTGTGGCGGGCGTTGAGCCTCCAGCTCCTCCCGGGCTGCAGGCGGCGCTGTGGCGGGCGCTGAGCCTCCAGCTCCTTCCGGGCTGCAGCCGGCGCTGTGGCGGGCGCTGAGCCTCCAGCTCCTCCCGGACTGCAGGCGGCGCTGTGGCGGGAGGTGAAGAAGCGTTTGAGCTCGGTCGCCGCTCTCTTATCCCTGAGAATGATAATAGTCGTTAAGGAACGGCTGCGCAGTCAGTTAATGTGACTCTTGGCAGGAGCCAGTCAAAGTATGAGTTAAAATGACGGTTTAAACTGTAATTAATGGAAAGTAAGCCCGTTCCTGCTCACTGTTGAACAGCCAGCCGGGAGAATGGGGTAAAGGTGAGTGTCTACAATAAAGTCTCCCCCGGGGGTGGCTCTGGTCATCGCGGCTCGCAGTCTGTGAGGGTGAGGGTGAGGGTGAGGGGGTGGCAGGTGATAATTACCCCATACTCCCACCCCCCAACTCCCCCTCTTCCCCCATCACCTCTCCTCCT